ACACACACACACACACACACACACACACAAACACACACACACACACACACACACATACACACACACATATACACACACATATACACACACATATACACACACATATACACACACATATACACACACAAACACACTCACACACACACAAACACACAAACACACAAACACACAAACACACAAACACACACACACACACACACACACACACACACACAAACACACACACACACACACACACACACACACACTTTTAATGTGATGTTGTTTGACGCCCAACCATGATGATGCCGAACATGATGCATGCATCGAAGTTATACTGGAAGAAGTGGTAGACGCAAACCACAACCATGGCAACGTAGGTGTGATGTACAACGATTTGCCCACCCACAAAAACACAACAAAAACAACAAAAAACACCAAATGCGCCAACTTCGCCGAAAGCACCAAAGCGGTGACCGGGGAGAGGGAATCTCACCAGGTCCAGTTGAGGTGACCATCCTCTGCCCAAGATCATCACTCTCATCCGCTTGGCCAAAATGTTTTTGTCGGCCTTGTCGATGTCCTGCAGCCCTAAACCCTGTGGAGTGGAGGCTGGGCTCTATAGGGTTTAGGGTTTAGGGTTTAGGGTGCGAGTCCAGGCTGGGGTTGGGGGGAGGGTTTTGGGGGGGTTGAGGGAGGCGGGTTGAGGGGCTGCGTCTTTTGCCGCACTCATGACGGTGTAGGTGATTTCTAGTCTTCTTCAGCACTTTATTCGGTCATGGGAAGTTGGGGTGTGTAGGGGTTTAGGGTTTAGGGTTTGGGGTTTGTCATCCCACGTACCCTGGGTCAGGTAACAAAAGCACAACGATGCTCGAGAATCGTGGAGCGGCATGGCCGCGAAAAAGCTCCAGCGAAGTCAGATGGCAGCCGGGCAGCACTTCTGCCCAAGCCCTCACACCCGCGCCTTGCAGTTGTAACAGGCATGTTTTGTGAAATATGTTGCCATCCGCTCCCGCTTCACACGTAGTGGACGTAGAGGTCTAAGGGGCATGGGCTTTACGATGGTAAATCACTTGTGCATACTCTGAAGATCTCCCCCGAGGCACCGGTCAGCCTATTCGAGCTCAGGATTAACTTCCAAATGTGTCGGTTCTCCTGCATCGCCTCGGCCAGGGCAGCGGCACCATCATCTTCGATGAGGTTGTTGCTCAGGTCAAGGAGCTGGATGGATGTGTTTTTTCGAAGTGCTTGTGCAAGCGCCTCAGCGCCTGCATTTCGGACCTGGTTGCTCGCGAGGCGCAAAGTTTCAAGCTTGCACTTCGGCGCAATACCTTTCGCCAGGGACTGCATGGCGTCGTCCCCCAAGCAGTTCTTGCTCAAATTCAGCTCTTTAAGGCTGTCAAGCCTCGGTTTCTTCGGCATCTCCAAGCCAACAAGGTTGTCCGCTTACTTGTCATTTGGTTTCCCCTGCTACAAGTACTCAAAGGTTTCCTTTCAGCTCGGTATCCTAGTTCTCGACGCTGGAACATGCACCCTGGGGTGACAAGACCCAACCTGACAGGAACCAATCCGAAAGCAGACGCGACAGGGAGCCACACACCCCAAACCCATCAAACATCCTCAAACATCTACGCGCCTCAGCCGAAGCCCCTATACAGCTGGCAAGACAACTTCCCCAAAACCCCAAAAACTCTAAACCCTCAACCCCTAAACCCTACACCCTAAACTCTAAACTCAAAACCCAAACCCAAACCCTGAAACTTCAAGGAGCCGTCCAATGGCGTAGTCCAAGCCATCGGCGTGCGAGAGATCGTTTGACGAGGCGTGCAAGACGTGGAGTTGAGGTACGGCATCGGCCAAGGCCTCTTCCGAGGGTCGAAAGGGTTAGGAGTTAGGAATTTAGGGCTTGGACTATTAGAGGGTCTAGGATTTAGGTCTTAGAGGGTTTAGGGGTGGGGGGGGGGGTTTCGGGTTTGGCTAGAAGGCTTTGTTTAGGGTAGGCCCTTGAGGGTTTTTGACTCCCAGTTTGGGTGTTTTTGGGGGACTTGATTTCCAGCACCTCGTGTTCCTCCTTGCTGTTTGAGACCCCCAAACCCTACAATCTCCAGAGGAGAGTAAACCGAAATTGCACGTGGTTCAAATTGAACATCCAGCTATCAGGGGGCAAATGGCTTTGCAAAAAGGGCTGAAATGTCCAATTTACTTAAAGCCTAAACCCGAAACCCTAAAGCAGAGTTGCTTGTCTTGCCAGCTAGTATTCTTCTGAAAGGCAAGGGCATCTGCCTTTCCAAGCCAGCATCCTGCAGACCTCTGCCTCCAAACGCGAGGAAGAAGCCCTACCGGGCCCCTTCCGAAAAGAAGTTTGCAAAGATATGGTTCAAAACTATGAAAAAACTCTATGTTCAACTCCCCCAGTAGTACAGGCGCCAACTCCACTGACCCCTAAAACATCCTAAAACCCTAAACACTAAACCCTGAAAAACCCTGAACCCTAAAGCCATCTAAAGCCTTAACAACGCTTGCCTTGAAGAACCCTGGGATGATGTGGCTCCGGTGCAGAGTCAAAGTCTTCAACTCCCGGAAATACCCGAGGGAATTGCAGAGGATGCGCACCTCACCTGAGTTCAGAGTCTCGAAAGTTTCTCGGGTTTCGGCTTTATAGGGTTCTGGGTATAGGGCATAGGCATAGGGCTTAGGGTTTAGGGCATAGGCTATGGGGCTTGGGGCTTGTGGGGGTTTTGGGGGCTGTGGCCTTCAGCGTACTTGCCAAAGCATGTCCCCTCAAATTTTGGGGTCAGATGGCTGTCTAAAGCCCTATAAACCCTATAATTCCTAAATGCTGGAAAACTTCCCTCAAAACCCCAAACTCCGGAAGCCGCCTAAAACCCGCTCGAAATCCCTGGAAACCGAAAATCCTACATTCTAACAAGCTGGAAACCGAAAACCCTAAGGTTCGGAGCCCAGTCGCTCTGAGGCAGGAGCTCCAACGTCAAAGACGTCATCGACTGAGCCTTCAAGTGGAAGACGCTCTTCTGCAGCTCCACCACCGCCTCCTACTCAGGGTGTAGGGGCTTTCGGGTGTTGCGGTTTAAGCTATTAGGGCTGAGGGTCTCGGGAATTCCGGCTCCTGATCATTCCTGTGGGTAAATCGCAGGTTGCCCTCTGCCACTCGTTGACAGAAGTCTTCTGGCGCCATTGGAGCCTTTCCATGCTGGTCGATGACGTGATCGTCGATGCAAACCATGTGGCTTCCGTCAGATCTCCTCAGTTCGGTGTCTAAGTCAAGACTTTAAGGTTTTGATAGTTCGGGAAGCTCCCCGACGAAGACAAGACCCTAAGCCCTAAACCCTAAAACATTAGAACCCTCAAGCCCTCAAGCCCTCAAACCCTAAAACCCTTAGAGGCGGGTGAGGCTCATGGCGGACCAAAGAGCTTCCGCACAGCACCATCCGCGCGCGGAGTACGGCGTTTCGTTTGTCGTAAGCATCCTTAGTTGGTAAACTCTCTGAAACTGAAACACCAAACCCCTAAACCTGAAACCCTAAATTCCAAACCCGAGGTTCCTGCACGGCACCACCGCGAGCTTCCCCAGAGGAGGGGCCGGGAAATGCGGCCAATGAAAGATCGGAACCTCCTTGGCAGACTCTCTGATCGCCTGCGCTTCGGTGACGCGCGTGAGCTGGTATGTATAGGTGTCTTCATGTGAGTAGAAGACGTGCATCTGATTCATGACCCGGCTGAAGCTTTTTTGCGCAGGACTGTCTTGATCTCCTCTGTAGAACTGGTGCAGGGACATGTAGTCAATAAAATACCTGGGCTCAGTGAGCGTTTAACAATTTCAGGCTCCTTGAAGCCCTCTTAGACGATTTCTTGCGGGTCCAGCACTGCACAACACCTCAAGGACCCTCAACCCTCAACCCTAACAGCCCTCAGCAAATTCAACTACGAGATTTTTTTTGGGGGGCGGGGGTTCGGGCTCGTACCACGAGGAGGTAGTTGTGGCCACAAGACAAAGGAGCAAACCTAAATGGGAAACCCCTACCTTGATGGTCATGAGCTTTTGGGATTTGGGATTCATAATCTTAAACCCTAAGCCCTGAACCCTAAACCCTAAACCCTAAACCCTAGGGTTCCTACTTTTCCTACAAGAGCCGATAAACCATGAGCCCTGTCTTTCCATCACGGCCAAAAGACCATGACAACCGGGCTGGCCACTTCCGACACTCCACAAGCGCTTGCAGCTGGCGGCCAAGTGGATCCTGGACTGGGATTTATGCTTAGGGCTTTGGATTGCTTTGGGTTTAGGGATGCTTAGGGTTTAGGGATGTTTAGGGTTTATGGTTTATCGGGTTTCGGGCATAAGGCTGCATAAATCCACACCCTAGATCCCTAAACCCCTAGCGCCCCAAACTCAAAAAACCTTATGCAGCTCCCAAAGTCTTGCGCTTCTTGCAAGCTACGGGATGTTCCCTTGTCTCCCAAACGTGTGACACAGCGATGATCCTGGGCTGCTCATTCTCGTTGCAAAAATCGAGGGATCGTAGAGTCTCCTTGGATTTTCGTTGCTGAAGTTTCGGATTGAAGGTTAGGGACTCAGGTTAAGTTCTGAGATGTAGGGCTGAGGGATTTAGGGTTTAAGGTTTGGGGTTGAGGGTTTTGGTCTTTGGGAGCTCCGCCGCGGGAAATCAAAGGACACCTTTTAGGGTTTTGGCTAACAGCTCCCCCCCCCCACCCTAGAAGAGCAAAAAAACGCACCGAACTACCAGGCGCCTGAGGGCGCACTTTGCTACTGCTACTGCTGCTACTGCTGCTACTGATGCTACTACTGCTACTACTACTACTACTACTCCTACTACTACTACTACTACTACTACTACTACTACTACTACTACTACTACTACTACTACTACTACTACTACTACTACTACTACTACTACTACTACTACTACTACTAATACTACTACTACTACTACTACTACTACTACTACTACTACTACTACTACTACTACTACTACTACTACTACTACTACTACTACTTACTACTACTACTACTAACTACTACTACTACTACTACTAACTACTACTACTACTACTACTACTACTACTACTACTACTACTACTACTACTACTACTACTACTACTACTACTACTACTACTACTACTACTACTACTACTACTACTGTGCACTAGTACTGCGCACTAGTACTAGCAATAGTAGGACGCGCGTTGGTAGGAGGCCGTGCGGACTTTTACTACAGTCGCCATATCCTCAACATCCTAAAGAGCAAACCACAAACTCAAAGCCTACCCCAAATCTTCGAAAACCCTAGAAACGCTTGGAAACCCTCGAAACGCCTAGAAACCCTTCAAACCCTCAACCCTAAGTGAACAAGGATCTCTTTCTCGGAAGTTATGCAGCTCCCTCTCCGTCACGAAGCCATGCTCTTCCACTTCTTGCCGCCTCTCGGGCTGACTAGGGTTCATGCTAGGGTCTGTAGTCTTGGGCTTCTTGGGTTTGGGGCTTCTTGGGTCTAAGGTCTACGGTTTAAAATCTAACCCTAAACCCTAAACCCTAAACCCTAAACCCTAAACCCTAAACCCTAAACCCTATAAGGGTTTAGGGTAACCCAAGAAGCTCAAGAGGCCCGCCTTGGCCAGATGCGGCCCTCTCGGTGCAGTTGTTGAAGGTACAGGCCAGTTATGAGTCTAGGCTGTGGGGCTGTGGCTAGGGTTTAGGGTTTAGGGTCCAGCGGGCCCCAAAAACCCGGGCTCGGGGGGTTTAGGGTTTAGGGTGTTAGGTCTCTGCAAAATGTAGAAGTTTGGGTCCGGAGATTTGGGCCGGCTTTTGGCGAAAGCTTTGGGGCGAAAGGGGCGGCATTTTCGCTTCCAGCCTGCTGGCCTTTGTGAATTTTGGGTGGGTTCTTGAATCACACAAATTGTATAGAGTTTGTTTCCGGAGTCTTGTGAGGTTTTGTTGTTTTTGCCGGCGGTTGGGGGCGGTTTTCTCTCTTGCTTGTGCTGAACGACATGGTTTGCGTTCTGCCCGATACCATCTGGTCTCCATTTGGTGACGACTGTTGATGAGCACTGTGGCGCTTGGGTTTTGTTGGGGGATGAGGGGGTTAGGAGCTGTTGTGAGGCCTTTTTGGAGCCTCTTTGGAGCCGTTTTCCACGGGGCCTTCTACAAGGCCCATTTAAGGGGTCTGTTTGGGACAGGACCCCCCTGTTTCTGCAGAAGGGCCATTTCTCGTTTTAGAATGACATGTTGTCAAGCAGATCAGAAGGGTTTGAGTAAATTGAACGTGAGCCAAACTGCTTAGACTCCATGAGGTGCTCGTCTTCAAAGAGCGACGGAAGGAATAACTGATAGACTGTCGAGACTGCAGCTACCAAGTGAACCACATACATGTTCTATTCATCCTGGCCTTGAGGGTTTAGAGTTTAGGGTTCACAACACTATAAAATATCCCAACGGCCCAGGAACCGAATGTCATTGCCAGGATCCAGGAGGAAGCCGACCAAGGAATGCCTGTCGTTGAGGTCCACTTCGGGTGGCAGCTCTTGTGCCACCTCGGACTGCACCTTGCTGCTCGAAACCGAGGCTCATTAAGGTTGAAGGTTAAGCTGTTAAGATAGGGACGACATGAGTGAACCTGCAGCAAGGCAAAGGGACCCTAAAACCCCCCCTTTTGGCATCAGGACTTGTGCAATCGTTTGAGAAGTGCCAACTCAGGGTACATGCGCAGATACATCGCACCGCGCTCCCGCTTCTGAGCAGCAGCAGCAGCAGCAGCAGCAGCAGCAGCAGCAGCAGCAGCAGCAGCAGCAGCAGCAGCAGCAGCAGCACTACAAGACATTAGAATCCATCCCGTCAATTCCACCTGAGATCTGCGAGAGAACAAAACCGTGCGAACCCTGACCATCACGGACACGGAATCAGAGCTTCCTGGTGATTTCATGCTGACACATTCTGCCTGCGAATGTTGCAGCCGCCTCCTTTAATGTCATGCCTCTTTCTAAGTCTCGTACCACGTTACCCGCCAAGAACGTTGCAAGGACGCAGGAGAGTCATGCAATATTGCACGGTACTTCTGGTGTAAATACCCAAAGCCGCGTAAAGCCTCCATCCCGCCAATCCCTCCTGAGATCCAAAAACCCTAAACTGGCCTAAACTTAAACCCTAAACCCTAAATCTGCCGTGAAGCCTGCACCCCCTCTTCGAGAATCCCCCTGGCCTCGCCTTTGTTTTGGGGTTTAGGGTGCCCTAAACCAGAGCCAGGTAGCCGGGGCCATGGTGGGTTGGTGGCCAAACACGATGGCATCAGCTTGGTGTGGCATCGGCATGACGGGCGCAAGGGCGTGAACCCCCTAAAATCTCAACACCTAAACACCTGAACCCCTAAACTCTAAACCCTGGGGTTTAAGGTTCACTCACTGAGGCTGCCTCACGAGAAATCAGGAACAGACCTCATTGCCAATCACATGCCCAGAGCGTAGGGTCTGGGACTTAATTAGGGTTTAGGGTTTAGGGTTGAACCCCTAATCCCCTTACCCCTAAACCCCAAACTCGCTGGACAGAGCCTGCAGCCCAACCGTCTCCCAGAAACACAAGGTTCAGGCGATTCGAAAAACTCATAACGCTAAAGGTTTAGGGTTGAGGGCTTTATGTAGTTTACGGTCCAGAGCTAGATCAGACCCATGGTATATATTACTAGTGTCCCCTAATGGACACCCCAATGAACACCCCATATATACACTCACCAGTATTTACAAGGAATCATATATGCACTCACCAAGAACAGTAGTATGAACCCCATTTCATCTGAAAGTTTACAGCCCCAAAGCCCTCAACCCTAAACCCAAAACCCCAAGCCCAATAGAGCCTAAACCAAACCTTCGTGGTGCCCCGCATGCTAAAGCATGAAGTCACACCTGGCTGGGCGGTCTGTTCTACAGAGCGAGCACTGGGAGCCCTCTGGGGCAAGAGCTCCGAACTTCCGCGAAAGTGTTTAGGCTTCGGTTCGTTATGCTGATTTTCTTTTTTTTTTTGGGGGGGCTGGGGCGTTTCAGGCTTGGAGGTTGAGGGTGTTCAGGACCTGAGACAGAGGCTCCGACTGCAAGCTTCCTGGAAGCTCTGCGTCATGACGCCAAGGCCTCAATGGCCGCGACCTGAAGGTCCGCCTGAGTCGGCGTCGGTTTGGGTTTTAGGGTTTAGGGCTCAGGGTTTAGGGGTTTAGGGTTTAATGAAATCACAAGCAGTACGATGCCTCGGTCACAGAATCACAGAGATTTCTTGATCCTAGAATAGATTGGCTCGGTGTCCAACCTGCTTCAACTCAATGAAGGGTTCTCTGCTGCGGTCTGAGTGCTCAGGCCCCTTTCGAAGTCAGCAAGGAATCGGTCCAATCCAGCAAGGCAGGTCCGGCATGGCGTCAACGGGTAGCCGGATCGATTTCAGCGTCGGCCCGGTTACTCATCCGTTCTCCAACGTGTTTGTTCCAGCCGTCTCCACCCCTCAGCCTAAGGATTCCGGGGGCCGGTACTCTTGTCCTAAACTCTGGTGATGTCAAGATGAGCCATTGGTTTCGAACGTCAATTCCTCACAGTCTGGACTTGCAGCATTTGATGCATTTGATGGCCTCTGCCCTTGGAAAGGTTCACACCTAACCGTCACTCTGCCCACGCCTTCTTGTCGGGACTTAAGCACAAACGCCATGAGTACCTCAAAAACTTGGGAGAAAACAACAGAATGCAGCGCGTTCAGGAAGGACGGAAACTGCATCACAGCAAAGTAACATAAACCCGTAAACCACCAACCCTTAAATCCCCTTAACCCCCCAATCCTTAAAACCTCAAGCGCAGCCGTAACTTGTATTTCGCTGCAGTCGCCTGCAGGCTCCGAAACAGGATTCACGCGCAATTGTGCTGGGGTTCTGAGCCAGGAGATCCCCTAAAAGGGTTTTTTTGGTGCCTCTATTTGGGCTTCTTAGGGTACCCTTTTTTTGGCTTTTAGGGGGAAGTTGGGGAAGTTGGGTTTAGGGGGGTCCACTTCTCGTGTTTCTGCCCTCAATGCCTTCAAGGGAAGCCTCGAAAGGGGGTTTCCATAAAGATGCGTAAAGCCATAAGAATGATGCGAGAAGGCGCTCCAAGCCCTGAACCCCCGGAACTCTTTGCAAAACCCCAAAACCGTAAGCCTTACCATGTTCAAACGGAGAAACCTGGAGCAAATCCGAGGACTCGTTCAAGCCCGATAAATTGCCAAATCTGCTAGGCAAAGCAACCACCCGGCTAAAGTATGGCCGCATTGTGTATGCGGGCACATCTTGTGAGTCGGATTGAGCCAGGTTTCGGGCTCGAGGTTGAAGGTGCTGTGGACCAGGATGTTGGGTTTATCCCCTTTTCAGGGTTTAGGAGTTAGGGTTCGTCATCCCCTTTCAGGGTTTGGGAGTTAAGGTTTGTTCTCCCCTTTCAGGGTTTAGGAGTTAGGGTTTGGGGTTGGGGGCACCCATTTTCTCCCTCATTCTCCTACGAAGAAACAGTGGCTGTTGTTTGTTTGGACGCTTCTCAATGTCACGACAAACGACGCACGCGGAATCAGTGAAAGTACGTGGCATCTGATGCACATACTAGCGTGACTCCACTCTACAACAGGGGGCTTAGGAACTACAGGGTTTAGGGTTGAGGGTTTTTAGGTTTAGGGCTATGTTCTCTGCCACCCTACGGTTTGTAATCTACGCAAGCATATAAAGGGACCCTACCATACTTTGCTAACCTCCACTTAGCAGTAGCCCCGTGTGAATTCATAGCCCCCGTTGTAGTTGAGGGTTGAGGGCTCAGGCGCGTGCCTTCAGAACACAAGCTCGGTTACATCCCGTCCGTCTAATACTGTCTTGCAGGCGCGCAGCAGCCTTCCAGCAATTTTACAACATGTGTCAAATCTGCACCGGGTCTGAAACGTGCACGGCCCGCGCGAATCTTCAGTCCGCAACGGGTCGAAAAGTTTATCGAGACCGTCCCGCTTCTTTGGCGAAAGACCACAGGTGCACTCATCGGAGATGCTTCTAGCATCCGGACATGCAAAAAGAATCCTTGCTTGTAGCAGGGAGAGCCTTCGTGCGCCTTCCTTCAACAGATACTCTTTCACACCGTGGCTTTTCTCTTGAGAGATGAACAAAAACTGAGTTTAAAGCCTGAGGAGTAAGTCGGAGTATCGGTTTCGGGCTGCGTAATTCTATCCAGCTTTCGCATCTTCCTGGTCTTCTCCCACCTGCGCGAAGTGAACCTTCGATTGGTTTCCCAGGCAATTGTCGTCCAGTGGGCCGCAAGTCTAACCTCTACAGAGTAGACGTGCTTCGACTGCGACTGCGACGACGACTTTTTCTAAACTGCAGTAGAGAGGAATGGTTCAGCAGGCCTTCGAAGCCCTTGAAAGCACACCCTACGTCTGAAGGCCTGAAGGCCGTGCGACAGCAAGTTAAGGAACAAATTATCTCCCCAACTTCTGAGGGCTGCACAAACAACTTTCAGTGACATGACTCACGCAAGCATGAGAACAATTTGGGTCACACTTTGCTTGGGCGGATTCTATGTTGGCAGGCGTAGTTCATCAGCGACGCTAGCTTGGATCACAAAGCTACAGAAAAGGGTGCTAAACAGACACGTACTACGTCCTTATACGATGCACTAGTTCCAGCCTAAACCCCAAACCCTAGGAGGTGGGGTTGCGAACGATACCAAGGCACAGGGACACCATGTTTGTTGAGATCACGCATGTGATCCGCCGCGGCCGCCTCGCACTGGTACCTCGGGGTTGCGTAAGAGTTTGGGGTTTAGGGTTTGAGGGAATCAGGGTTCTGGAAGTTTAGGACAAGCTTAGTAAGGTCAAAGCTTCTTCTGGTAATTGCATGGTACTGCGGGCCCATAACTGGGGAACCCTTGTGTTGCCCTTGTATGCCGTCTACAACCCCAGGAATCCGTCTAAAGAAGGTAAACGACTGTATTGAGGGACCATATAACCTCCCTCAGAAAGCTGTCAGCGTTTCATCCTGGGTTGGCCGGTTGAGTTAAGAATGAAGGGTTAGAAGGGTTTGCGGTCCAGGCCTAGATCCGTTTGGAAGGTCCAAATCTATTTTGGAACCTAAAACGAACGCCTTGAACCCACCCTTGAAAACTTCAAAGCCATGCTCAGACCCTGACCCTAAACCCCAAACCTTAAACCCTAAACCCTCAGCCCGAAACCCCAATGACTAAACCCCAAACCTTCAAGCCTGCAAAATCCGATTCAAGCCGAAGAGCAGGAATGCCTCGATAGTTCCCACACTGGCACCAAATGGGTTGGTAACAGTGAGCCTGGAATGCAACTTTCTTTTCCATTTAGGACCTACTTAGAGGACTTAGGGGGGCTTCTAAGTACAGTAGCCTGGAAGGGTGTTAGGGTTTGGAGTTTAGGGTTTAGGGTTTAGGGATACTAGACCAACCTAGTAATAAACAGAGGTGCCCTTTTTTGGGTTAAAGGGGTTTCGAAAACAACCCCATTTGAGGTCTGAGATTTCGGGTGTATCCCTGGCCAAGCCCTTGAATCTAAACCCACCTGGTCCAAAGAGGGCATGGAGGACAAAGACCTAACACCCAACCTAACTGACCTAACTGCTACAGTATTTTGCTCGCTGCTGGGTTTAGGGTGGAGGCCTTGAACACACAAAGCCCTCCGTCCAAGGCCTGAAGGGGAAGATTGGGTGACCGGCACAAGTCCCGAGGTTGCTACAGTAAAGCTGCCCTCCACGCTAGGACTATCGCAACGAAGTTTCAGGGCCCGGTCCCCGTGCAACGAAAACCGTGCAGAAGCCTGGTACTCAGCCCTGGACCCTTCGGGCCCTCGTGAACTTTGTCTGCAACCTAAAGGTACCACAAAGGCCCTGTTTACAGCCCCGAAAAAGTCTGGCCGATTTAGACTTGACAAGCGGAGCAGCTGGAGATGGCACTTGGCCTCTCTGACGTTACAGCTTTTGTGGGGGTCGAGGACGACATCCCCAAGCTTGTCGTGTGCGAACCAGTCCTCTAGCTGCGTTTGGTGCTTCTGCTTTGTGCACTTTCTTTCAGGCTTTCTTCGGGCTGCGCTTAGGGGAGTGTGGCTTCATGCATTCATCATACACGTGCAATACACATGTGAATACTCCCATAGTAACATCTTTCGCTCGGCGTTTCGGGGCTCGTCGATAGTCTGCTCACAAACCAATTTTATGCACGGTGTACTCGCGCCGATCTAGTACCATCATTGCTACCATTGCTACCTCTTCACTTTGGCATTCTGCTCTTTTCCAGGCCCCCTCCTACAACAGATCATACACTCGGGTGCCACCACGTAAATGTACATATCTGCATGCCTGATCCATGTGATACATATTTATCATGATAATTCTGCGGTTGCCCAGCGCCACTTGATGACATTTGCTCACTTCATGGCACTAAAGCAACACACGTATTTCATAGCTCGGCATGGATGCTCCGAGACCGTGGAGCATCACCATGGTTGGCGGGGGTGTGCTCCTTCGGGTTCATTGAGCCACGAGTAGCTACAGCGACACTGTGCTGTCGCCAACTGCAAGAGAACGGTCTTGGAGCAGACAAAACCTGCAGCATGTGGTGGGCCCTCACGACTAGAAGCTCCATTATGATGTATTGCATGGCTGCATGGTATGCATATGTATGCATGGTTCAGCCGCGCCTTGACGCACGTTCGGAGTAACCCCAAGCAAAGCCGCCACCATCATCGCAAGATGCACCACTCGAGCAGCTTGACCGGAACATGTTCATCGGTCTTGTGCTCTCAACTTCGGCCACTAACAATTGCACCAGCACGCAGAAAAACGCAGAGCCTGAAATCCGGAGGCTCTATTGCAGGGCAGGGGAGCCAGGCCTCGGGAGACGTAGTGTCACCTAAGACTAAGACAATGATGTCATTTAAGTTCACGTGCAGAAGAACCCAGAAGAACAGTATGCTATGTGCGGATGAAGGCCGAGCGAAACTCAATATGTACTGCACTTTAAGGCAATCTTTTGAGTGGAACATGCAGCATGCCATGGTTCAGGCTGGTGAGGCTGGTGCAATCCAGTCAGGCACACCAAGAGCATACGCCACTGCAAGTTGTACTTTCTGCTGCCGTGTCCTTACATGCATATACATCTAGAAAACATCGTTGGGGCGATGCCTTCGTCAATTGCACTTAGACGGAAAACACAGGGGCAATATCTAGAAAGTAAATAGCTAACTTTGTTCAGGTGCCGGCAACAGCTAGTAAAAACTGCCCCAGCGAGCTGAAGTGACCGATAAATCAACTCAAAAAGCGAATTAACGAAAACCGCCAAACAACCAACAAGCCAACAAGGAACCCCAGCATAGGAACCAAGCGGCGAAGCCCACCCAGGACAAAAGAGACGAGGGCAGGAAGCAACGGCAAAACCAACCAACAAGCACCCAACAAGACCGGTGCCATATTGCCTCGACAACATGGCCAAGAAAAGGCAGTATGGACCCAACGCTGCTGGGCGACAAGCAGGTCGGGCCATCTGGGATCTCACCGTATTCCACGACACACTCAACCAAGATAGAGGTATCGGCATTGCAAACCTCAAGAGCTGGCGCTCACTAGCAAGTGCAAAGCAAAACGAACCCCATGACAGCACGTACGAGGTACTGACCCTTTTCGGAGCAAAACAAAGTGTTGAGCTTTGTCAGCTTTGTGTTTTCATGGCCCTGGTGGCCAGGACCCAGGCAACACTGCCAAGAACAGCTACACTAGCTCTGTATAACCTCCTCGCCCGTGCTTCGTCGTGGAATCAGGTTGTTACTTGCTGTAGTGCTGCGATTGTGTCCAGCTGGGCAGGGACCCAGCTTGTGCAGCAGCAGCAGCAGCAGCAGCAGCAGCAGCAGCAGCAGCAGCAGCAGCAGGTGGTGCAAGGCATCGACGCAGCCATCCAGGCTTGGCCAGGGTCTCTGGCCCCGCCCTGCTGGAGATGGCGACTGGCCAAGCAGCTGCGAGGCAGCTCATGGATCAAACCGCAGATGCTGCAGCTCGAGCGGCAGCAGCAGCAGCAGAGGTTGTTGCTACCAACGCAGTCCTACCGCGAAGGGCTGAGCAGATTGCCCGTCTGGTTCAGAAACCAGATATTTACCGCCCAGAGAAGTGGTTGGATTCTCCGGGATAGTGGACAACAAGTATGTGGAGGAGATTGCATGGGTGGAGCGAGAAGCAAGTACTGAGAAGCTGATCTTTGGGATGTTTGGAGAAACAGCAAGCCGAGCTTTTGAGTTGTATGCAGTACTGCTCTCCTTCTTGAGGCACAGGCCGGCAAAGCTGGTGAAAGGGTGTGGCAGAGAGCAATGGCTATGAAGCTTGGCGAGTCTTGGACACCGAGATGATGCCGTCGAGCCGACAGCGACAGTTGGCACTTGGGGGCCAATTGACAGCAATGAGGTTCGAGCTGGGCAAGTCGATCGCTAAGAGAGGGTGTCGAGTACCAAGTACAGCGAGGAGCTCAGGATCAGTACCCTGGCGGCAGCAGCTCCTCAAGCGCTACAGGCCATTGTCTTTGCCCCTTAATTTGCATTATTATAAATGTGTGTTTGTACCGTAAGCACGAAACGCCCAATTAATAATACAAAACTAAAGGCCCTTTCATGCTGTGTTAAAAAGCCCCAATTAATAAGGACTTTTAGGGGCTTCTACCTACAGCATTAAAGGGGGAAAAGGGCGCGTGTTCATTGATGCTCCCTTTCTTCCTTCATCTACAAACGCTTCCATATACTCCCTGGCCTTGGCAAGACTCCCTTCGAGGCTCATGGCGGGAAAGTCTATGAGCGGAAGCTGGGTGAGTTTGGCGAGGTCGTGTTCGGCAGGGCCATCCGGAAGTACAAGGGTGAGGCTCAGGGCCAGTCCATTATGCGAATGCAGGACGAGAGTGCAGAAAGTGTGTCAGTGTGGCAGCCGGAAGAGAAGAAGCATATAGTTGAGGCAATCTCGGACTCCAATTTTGTGAATTGCAAGACCACCCGACGATCGTTGAGTTCTGGTCAAGTACACCTTGATCGTGCCCTGGCCTTTTCGTTTGTTAGGTCCCAGAAAGTCGCGACGTTGAGTTCAGGAGAGGCAGGGCTGGTAGCACTGACCCAAGCTGTGGGAGAGTCAGTACTCATCAGGAACGCTTTCAGCTTTGTATGCTTTGTGCGGGGGCAAAGGCCTGAGGACATCGAGCTTGTGGCTAGGACAGACAGCTCAGTGGCCCGAGCCATTGCTTCGAGGAGCGGCGTTGGGCGAGTTAAACACCTAAGCACATCATGCTTATGGTTGCAAGGCTGGGTGTCAAAGAAGCTGCTGAGGAGACCTTCGATTCCCACAGTGGGTACTAAGTTGCTACCTGCGTGACGAGTCCGGCTACTTCTGTTGTGCTTGCCATGGTCACAGGACATCGTGTTGGAGAAGCAGAGTTTCATGAACGACGGCAGGCGCGACCCAAGGCCAAAGCGATGATGAGGGTGGCGCAGACGATGATGTCTTCAAGGATACTCAGTTCCCGGGGGCACCATGATGGTGATGGCGTTCTATCTGGCCTTCTGTGCAAGATGGAAGGTGAAGCTGGAGATCTCCAGCTATCGAGGGTTTGAGCCGGCGCGGGAAGATGGAGAACACCAAGAACCAGATCGAGCAGACCAAGGAACCAAACAGTCGGATGGTTCTTAACATGAAGGGCATGGTGAGCATGTTGGAGGAGAAAATGATAAAGGTTTTAGTCAAGAAGACCAAGAACCTCGAGCAGACCGAGGAGTAGCGTCAACAAGTGCATCGGCAAGCAGTGGCCACTTGGAGTATGTGAATGAGCTTCGAGCCTACCCAATCCCATCGGGCTTGGGGCCAGACCGATTCAACCTCCTCCAGCGCGAGCTCCAGTGCCTGTGGTGCGTGTTCGGGACGAGACGAGGCCACCGAGCATGCGATTGCCAGCTACACATGAGGTGTGTTATGCACCAGCCCGGGGATATGCATATCATGGTGTAACCTGTAGGAATGTACGAGTAGGAGCAGGTAGGATTGAGCGATGCTCTCTTCGAGAAGTTATCTCCAATTGGGCGATGCTGCGTGGGCAACGGCGTCATGTGCAGCTAGGCGTCCCTAACCCGAGAGCGTCGCCGCAGCCTTGCGGCTCGCTCCGATGCAGAATTGACAGAATGTTTCTGGTAGCCGTGCTGGCGATGATGAAGGTGCAGTCTCTGCAATGCCTTTGCGACCCGTTCTTGCGGCGGAACACTTGTGGAGCTTCCTACAAGGTATCCTGCCCTCGTTCTGCTTTCGTATCCCGCTTGACGTCGGCTTCAATCCACAACCTTGTGGTCAAATGTAGCTGGAGCACGTCTCCTGCAGTTGGCAACCACAGCACATGTGCAAGTTCGGGGGTGCGTAGTGGGGATTTGTGTTTCGTGCGCCAGAGTTGGACTCTCGACTGGTTGTGACGCCTGGAAAACATTTCCGTGGGGGCCTCTCAGTGGGCCTCAATCGGTGAGAATGTTTGTGTCTCTCCGAGAAGGGGCGCTTAAGGCGAGGGCAGAGACAAGCGGCGACAGGCGAATGGATAGTGAAAGAACACTACAACAAGCATGCAAGGGGTCCCCCCAAATGTACCAACAATGTACCAAAAAAAGGATCAAAAAGACATAAGAGAACCAAGAGGTCGGCTCACTCCGCACCCTCCGCACCGTTCAATGGCGTATCGGCCTCGCGGCCCGCTTTGCCTGCAAGGAGCCACAAGGAGCCGGAAACATCCAGAAACCGTGCCAGGCCAGTCAGAGGTATATTCGTGCCGCGAACTAAGAAATAGATTATCAAAGTCCTCGCTGGGATGAGTAGTATGACAGAGAAAGACATGGTAGTTGATCAAAATGCCTGTTTCCAAATCACCGTATGTTCTCCTTCTAAACCAATAGGGGACCTTTAGATCAAGACATCCATACTCAGCTGTCAATGCAACAACGCTGCTTGAGCTATTGACTTTCAGATGCTGTTGGCATGGCATTCTGCACACACCGAGTCACACAACTCTGAATGCGGCCTACCAGTATTGTAAGACCTTATAGGGTTAAGAGTAACACCCGATGTTCCTGCTATCACGACTCCTAAGTATGCAGCATTGTGCCGTGATGAAACGTGCACTCAAGCTACCACGGAGGCCCAGCTTCCAGGCCCTGAGCGTGCAGCCCGGGCTTGAACCCTGAAACCCTCAGCGCACTCCCATTGTGTGCAGGCCTTTGCTTTCCGACCCATCTCCGTCACTGAGTCGCTGGGAGCGTCGCGCCCCAAAAAACAAGTTGATCCACGACTTATCAGGTCGCCTTTTGCTTTCTCCGAGAACAGGAACCCAAATTGAAAACGCTCCCCAACAAATTGCTAAACCGTAAAGGACCTGTTGGCCTCGTCAAAATCTAGTGGGAGCAGCTCAAGACCCTACGAAGTCAGACCACAAAAAATGTGAAAGTGTCTGACGGCCCCGCCTCTCCACTTCCCTCGGCTGGTTCGCAGGTCCTGTGGGCCGCTGTAGTGGCGGGTTCGCACTCGGTCAAACTCTCAAACCCAAGGCACACTCGAGCGGCAGGAACCCCAACCAAAACAGACAATTACACACCACAAACCTCAACAAACTTGCAGTTTAAACGTCTGCACTGTGCTTTGGCATGGCGCCGCCTGGCCTGCGTTCAAGCACACTTCTGAGTATGTCGCATGCCAACGCGCAGCGAGCTCTCGACGAAGACTTGAGTTGTTTTGCTTCTCATCCGCACCTCGGTCATGTGGAATGCAGGAGTTCAGTCCAACAGAGAACGTAAGCAAAACTGCAACAATGCAGCAGCAGGGAAGCTGAATCGAGGACTGTGCGCCTCACGCCGCGGCCGGCGTGGTGCCTTACAGTACTTACGGTCAGCAGCCATGCAACAGCATGCAACGTTGGGGAGTGAAATCTGCTGGCAAAAAGGGTGCTCAGATTGTGGCTTGCAGTGCCAGATGGCACGTCGGAAGCGGCCTTGTTCCAGCGCGAAGAGGGCCGCGGACCTCCAGCGAAGTGTCAAAATCTGTTACGGCGCTATTGTGCTTCCATATATCGCGCGTGACGTAGTCATTGCCTGCACGGCATGGCTAACCCCCAAAGAAAAATGCCAGGCCCTAGGCGCAATCACTGCAAGAACCTTTTGCATCTACAAAGGCTGAACCTGCGGTCGGCACTTCTGGCCTACGGCTTGGGGTCCATGGATCTACGCATGGTCTCTGAGAGGTGTGAGCTGGTGCGCTCGGGCTGTAAACCCATGTAGACCATGAGCCTTAATCCTAAACCCTATAACCCCCAAACCCGGTGTTTCTTCACAGGAAAGATTAAGGCCAAGGGTTTTGGAGGGTGTGGAGGCTGAGAGGAATCCGGGAAATTCTTGAATTCTCGTGGGGTCCAAGCTTGAAAATCCTCCTGAAAAGAGACCAGGCCCGAAGCAGCATCGGCAGAGTAGGCTGAGAAGTTTTGCTCCGCATCTGCGCCGCATCCGCGCCGCATCCTCACAGACTGGCAGACACGTGAAAATGGCACAGAAGCCTCAAGGCAGAGTCCGCGTGATGCGCAAGCACATGTGCTACGCAGCACAAGTTCACCAGCACTCTACTGTTTTTCTTCCGTGCTCTTCGACCGATTACGGCGACTGTCCACCAGGTTCCACTTCAAGTAATTCGGTGCAAAATGCAAACGATGTAGAGACGTCACCGCAGAACCTCCGTTTCTGGATCTGGAATACTTGCTGATGTGAGTTCGATGCCTTCAGAACGCAAGAGCGGCTAGATCTCTTCGCTCTGATATTGCCCTGCTGTGGCCGGGATGAGCGAGTTCTGGCAGCACCCTTCCAGCAGCTGTGCAAATTTTTGTCAAATCTACGGCGGCTCTGATCGTACAGGGGCCCGCGCGGTTCTTCAACCTATTACGGCGACTGTCCGCCACGGGTCAAGTTTCATGCCTTTCAACATCTGTACAACAAACAGCATCTTTCCAGAAGCTCTGAGCGTGCAGGGCCCGGAAATGCCCGGAAGCACTGAGAAGGGGTCTCAAGTGCCCTCAGCGGAGTGGGCCGAAGATGAGGTGCTCGATGTTGCAGGAGGTGATCATCACGACGTAGCCTTCGGTCCGGGCCTTGTCTGGTACATTCAGATCGTAGCAAGCTGGCTTCCCATTTTGGGAGGCGCCACCTTTGATGCCGTTGTTGGTGAAGCCAGTGTTGAAAGCCTTCTGCTTGGTCGCGGCGGTGTGTTTTTGATTGGGCTGAAAAGAAACCCTTTCCTGCTCCTCCTCCCCTTCTTGTAAAAGAAGAGCGCCACGATAGCATGGCCAAACGGTGATACCGCCACGCTGCTCCCATCCGGGAGCCTTTGCCGCCTCGGTGAAGACTTGTGGGAAATTTCTGAAGTACCTGGCATAGTTGGTTTTGGCACCGTAGCAATTTGGGACAAGATCGAATACATCGATCTTCACGAATGTCTGCATGTACTCCTGGTTAGAGCAGACTTCCTGTTGCATCTTGCGGGACAGATCACCGCCACGACAATCGCGTCTTTCTTTCTTCCCATTTGTGGTCTCATGCATGTACCAACCTGCCTTCAATACTCTGTTGTGGATGTGGAGCTGGTCCTGTCCCCGCGCGCAGACTGGGTTGACCAGCAACGCACAGCCAGGGGCGAGGCCTTTGCGCTTGCATGCCTGCGTTGATCCATCATTTCCCAGTCCATTCCTCGCAGCCCACCACAGCCAGTCCCAGTCTTGGGCCCGTTTTGTTCCTTTCTGAATCTCTTCTGTGCCAGTGAACCTGACAATTGGGTCTGTAAGCGCTCCACTGGCCATGCTGCAGTACATTTTTGGTTTCAATCCTTGCGGCATCCTGTGCTGAACTGAATAGTCACCATCTTCCTTCAGGACACACCTACGGTAGTGGAGGCATCGTGCAAACTGCGCGTCCCTTCGTGCCTTCTCCACAGGCTTATTATGCACAGTGGGCATGACCCCGTTTTTACAGTCCGCAAAAAGGACCCTGGTCTGATCGCTGGCGGTCTTCTCGGAGCAATGATCATCCACTTTTTGCCGCGATTGTTGCGTCCAATTTTGCCGCAGCAACATCGCGGGGTGCAACTGAAGGTGGCACACCCCGTCTGGGCACTCCTCCAAGTTCATTTCTCCGCTCTGCGCAGCGAAGGCAAAGGCCCCCCACATCGCAAGGAACGCCAGCGTCGCAGCCATTGCAGGCAGGTACTACGGCTAGCTGCAAACTGTCAGATTCCTGGGCAAAATGCGACTGGCTTGTAGACAGAAGCAAGAACTCGTTGATAGATGCGATAGATGCGTAGAAAGCAGGTGAGAACAGGGATGCTGCACGCTTGCACAGGCCTCTCGAAAAGCGGCATCTGCTGCTGGCTGGAAGGCGTCATAGCCTGGCCGGATAGGCTTGCTTCTCGCCAAAGGGCACGGCGGGATCATCACGGATATTGCGCATGAAGTGGGCGCGCGACGGTTTTTGAGCATGAAGTGAATGTGCAAGAGTTTCACCTGGCATCTGGCAGTAGTAGCGATAATAAAGTAGCGGTGCACTTCGGTAGGGATAGTTTCCACGCAGACACACGCACGACACACTGCAGCGCAGATTGTCTGCGTCATTGAACTTCATATCTTTGTCGCCATCCACCACTGGCCAGAGACACATGAAACGCAAGCCGAGCGGCACCATTTGGTTGTGAAATGCAGACCAAGTCGCAAACGATTTTTTTCAGGGCACAGCAACGCTTTCGGGTTTGCCCAGCGAATGTCATCACAGAATGATGAACCATGTACAGCTTGCAGGATTCACGATGTCACAAATACGATGTTGTTTTGCAAGTACACACTGGTGGCCAACCAGTGCCTCCCATCAATCTCCACAGTTTCGCTGGGTACGGTAGGAGATTGATACCGTACCCCCCTGCTTCACATCAGAAATATTCCAACTGAACGCAAAATCTACAGGTGGAAACTCAATAACCGCCAAGAGGCAGCATCGATGACTCTACTGGTTGGGATCGTGTATGATGGGGAGGATGGTGGACCGAAGTCTCCAGTCATAAATTTCTGGATGCACACACACACACCGCACAAAGCAGGGTGCAAAGCTTCCAACCGCCGTCCTATTCAATGTCCTGTCCAAGTTGCAAACTGGAGACAAGTGGCCTAACCGCTCCCCTAACGCCTCCGTAAAAATCAACGCGCTGCATTCTTTTGGTGCACTTTGGTCGTCATAGTCGCGTCGCTTGCTAGTCAAGGTTTCCTTGAGAACTCAAGCGCCCCAAAACTTTAAATCCCGCATGACCATGATGAAAAATGCATAACCCTCAAACCTCATTGGGTTAAGGGTTTGGGGCTGACGTTAACTGTGAACAAGCCCAACAAAATGCGGCACGGCCAAAGCCCCGCGTCCAACCTGTTTGTGAGTCTCGCGCCCGACACCCGGTGATGCAGGATGCGTCCACCCCACCATCAGAAGGCAGAGAGCAAGGCGGCCGTAGGGCGAACCCCCGACACCTGCAGGAGTCCCCGGCGTCCCGCAAGACCTCCAGCCCCATGCTTGCCGATGGGCCGTAGCAGCGTGTGCTACTGTACAAGCTATGCGCAAGAAGCCTGACGGACCCAAGCGGAGGCCAGAGGAAGCTCGACGAGCCCAAGCAGAGGTCAGGTGCGAAAAGGGCCAGGCAGGCCTAACACAGAGGGCAAGCAAGATAAGCAAGGGCAGAGGTCTGCTCTGTCACGGGCGTCCAGCTTGGGAGTATTGGGGATCACGGAGCGGAGTGGAGGCGGACTGCGCGCCGTCGGGCAGGCGGCGCAAGACAGCACGGGCGTTCTCACGCTGGAGCGTGACGCTGAGGCACTGCAAAAGCTGCTCGGTGGCCGCGCCCGATCCATCACCGGACTTAGCGGCCAGGAGCGGCCCGAGTGTGCGCCAGACTTTGATTGCTTCACGTCCCCAGCCACCACAGGATGATTCCGCAATGAGGGGGAGGAACTGCAGCCCCTGGTCTCGGCAGAGGGCTGCCGTGTTAAGATGGGAACGCTTGCGTTCCTCGTAAGCCGCACAAGTGTGAGAGCCATCTGCAGCAGAGGCGGCAGCTGCCCCACATCGCAAACCGCTCGTGACGGCAAGGTCGAACACTGCAGGCCCGCGCAACCCCCAATGAGGCACAAAGCAGCGGGCTTTGAGGGTGTTTGGCCTGCAGAGCAGCGAGGGTGGCAGCATCGCGGGGTAGAGGCGGCTCCTGGAGCAGAGCGTCACACGCTCGAGCTAGATCACCCTCAGCAAGGCGGCGGCAACGGGAGTGGCGGGCCTCAAGGGACAGGCGAGTCGGACCGCTACGTTGGCGTGGCTCAGACACACATTCCTCCCACAGCTCAACCCTCTCACCATCGAGCCAGCGCAAGCAGCGCCGCTTGGTGGCTTGCCCCAATTGGGCTCGGTGGCGAGCCCACCACGGAGAGGAGCGACAAGCACGGCTTTGGGGAGCATCAATAATTCCAACCAAGCGGCAGGGGTGTTGCGTGCTCCTGTTGAGGCAATAGCGCGAGCCAGACATTGGGCCCAGGCTGCACGGGCAACCTTAGGGACATGCCGCACGGTAGGAACCTCTGCCGCCAACACGTCAGCAAAGTTCGGAAGAGGGTCGGCGGCAGACGCTGCAGGAGGCACGGCGCCCGGACGGGCGGCTTGAGCACGCGAGTCAGGCCGACAGCGGGGGGTGCGACCCATTATAGTACCGCTTGACCAACAAACCACAAACCGTGCAAGTGTCGAGGCTGTGTGCATCAAGGTACTCCTGCGGGACGGCCCCTGACAACTGGCCTGAGCAGTGGTCATCGAGATGATGTCGCATTGCAGGGTGAGAGCCCCAGCCCCGGGAGCGCAAGGGATCCCCCAAGCCGCACCCAGGCACAGGGCAAAAGCAGCGCGCAGCAGCCTCAGGTGCGTGGACGCGGCGACGCAGGGCCGCGGGCTCGGCAGAAGGAGGTGAGTGTCAACACCAGTAACCGCAGAAGGCGAAGAACGCCGGGGGCCGGAGCCATGGCCGGACAACTCACTCAGGAGGGTGCGAATGCGAACGCCGACCAATGGCGGCAAAGCAGACTTCCCGGGCAGGCAGGACACAAGGAAACAAAACCGGGCTGTCTCAACCCACAAGGGAGGAACCGGATGCCACACGCAATGGCTCGAGCGGCTGCTACTGAGTCCCCCCCAGCTGCGTACGAAACACGCCCAGGAGCAGCACCAGGCCCCCCCAGCTGCGCACGACGGCGCCCAGGCGAGGGCCCTAATCTCGGTTTAGGGTTTAGGGCTCAGCATAGCCGATAACTTGGCTCCATGACCATGACAGGACCAATGATCGGGTAGGCCCAATAGCCTCTAAAAAACCTTAAGCCCTAAACAGCCCTAAGCCCTAAACAGCCCTAAGCCCGAATCTAAGCCATAAACGGCCCTGAGCCCTGAACAGCCCTAAGCCCTAAACAGCCCTAAGCCCTATAGGGATTAGGGCTTAGGGCTTTAGGGATTTACGGATCTGGGTTTCACACAGCATGATGCGCACTCTTGTGTGAAGGGGGAACCAATATGCCTTTCGTTCTGCCGTTGAAAGCACAGACTCCTTGGGCAGGGTGTCTCATAGTGGTGATCCTGCAACTCGACATTGACATCCTAAACCCTCAACTTGCGAGCAGTGTACTAAGTGGGGTTGGTGGTTTAAGCCAGTTTAAGCGGCTCGCCGTTTTTATGCCCGCAACCGGGACTGGAAAGGGACTGACATGGGATCTCTACTGTGAAGGGCAGATGACAGCAAGCAAGCCAGTGGCATGCGCGGGTCGTCCTGAGTTTTGGGTTCACAGGTATGGAGTCATGACTCTTGATTGGAGGATGCCCTGGCGAACAGAACCTCCCGGAAGAGACGCCATGTGAGTCCTATCGGGTTTTGCGAAAGGTATGAGGACCCCTATATATGTATTATAAAAAGAATCCCCATATTCCGCTTACAAGGAATAACCTTTCTTTGTCTTTTGGGGGAGGGGGGGTTCCTAGGCAAATAGTCGTCATCCATGGTCGAGACACGAAAGTCCAATTCGTCCAAAAGCGTCAAAGATGCACCCATTCTGCCTGCCAAGGGGCTCGGGCTTCGGGGTTTAAGGTATAGGGTGTTTATCGGAAGCTTATCCTAATTGCACAAGAGATCAAACACTACACCAAGATAGACGCTTCTTTGAAGCGAAACAGCACGTACGTGAACCTTCACGTAGGCTAGTACGACTAGCACCAAAGGGAGTGGAGGGTGGGACAGAAAAACCAGGAAGCTACGCTTCGAGCTTCAAGCGACTGCATGGGCTGACGTTTCCCCCGTCTCCCGACTTAACAACTTGTTAGGCAAACGTTGCCCGCATTCGTTTAAGCTAACGATAAAGCACAATCACGCACGCGTGAAGGAAGCTTATCGGAAGCTTATCCTAATTGCACAACTGCCGGAACGCGAGCACCTTTTCTTTGGGAGATGACGGTGGGGATCAGTTCAGGCTGCCGTTGCAGCTTGATGCACTGGGAGCCAGAACTTCTCCGGCGTGAGGTAACGTACCCCATCTTATAAAGCCTCGAACGCCAAGGAAACCCCACCTAGACAGCTCCTGAGAGGCCCAACGCACTGCGTATCGCCCCGCACGGCAGGGGAACCCTACGACCCCCAAGACGGAGGATCGTGTCGAAAACCCCGCGACTTGGCCCGTCTGCGATGTTGCTAGAGGTGGGCACCCTCAGGAAACAAGCGTTGATGCTGAGACGTTCCTCTGCTTCCACAGCCTGAAACACTATCGCTGCGCCCTCTTCTTTCCGTGTGAAACTGCGGGCTAGGGACGCTCTAGCGGCATCGTTGTCGATGAAAACGAGAAGGTCACTGTCTCGGAGGAAACGTCCCCACAGCTGCAGCGATATGAAGTAGGGCAACAACTCGCACTCGAAAACTAACTGCTTTTTACCGACGCGGCTTGCCCATTCTTGCGCCGCGGCGGGGTCCAGGGTGTCTCCCCAGGCCAAAGGCACGCCATCCAGCCAGAGGACACCCCCAAAGCCACACGTGGGCACTGAGTTTGACACATCCCACTCGCATGCCCCGTCCAGCCAAAGGTGGAACGTTCTGGATGGTTGAACAGAGAAAGACCGGGGGCGCCCATCCAGGACGCGTTGCTCAATGAAGTCCAAAGCTGCTTGCTGGACGTCAGTCAAAGGATGCGAGGCTTCGGAGGCCGGGGAAACGTCCCCGACAGCCACCACGGCCTGTTTGGCGTTACGGCCCCAGACGTGTTGTTCCGCGAACACCAGACGTCCACACAGACGCTGCGCTTCTTCAAACGTAAGTGAACCTTTTTGTTTAATCGCCGCTACTGTGTCCTTAAGCTCAGCGACGCGCTGTGGCGTGTTGCTGACCTGTACCACACCCACGGACTGCTGGGACAGGTCCACTCGGACGCCGAGAACATCGAAAACCTCAGAAAAGGGGCGGTTCTTCTTCTCCTCCGTGGCTACGCGCCAGCCCAGTTTCTTGAACATTGAGGAGACAACGACCTCAACGTGGGCCGCGTTTGCTGCAGACGTCAGCACCGTGAAGTCGTCGAAAAAAGAGGTCATAGCTATGAACAAACTTTTTCCTTGCTATGGCTTTTAACGCTTCGCTGCACCGCAGGAAGGCATGCACGGCTGCAACTGCCCCAAAGGGCAGGCTGTGCAAGCGGCAGTATTGGACAACGTCTGCCTCAGGGTCCATGAGGCAGATGATGGCGAAGTGCTTGTGGTCGGCTCGCACGGCGAGCTGCTTATAAGCGCTCTTCAGATCCCAGGTACGACCGAGGATGCGCTCAGGGGGGCTCCCCGGCAGACGAAAACGAAGCCAGGAAAGACAGGCCTCGACTATCTCGTCAATCCCGTCCATCTGAACCTTCTCCTGCACACCACAGGCTCTGGGAGAAACTACCGCCAGAGCGGAAAGGTCTTCGCGGCTGCAGAAAGACAGCCACCCACTGGCCTGTTCTTCTCGGGTCACGGCCCAGACAGCACGCTCAGTCGCTCGGTCACGGTACCGGCAGAGACCTCTGACGCACCGTTGAGAAATTTCTTCGGACATTCGTTGGAGACCGGGGGCCGTAAGTTCGGGGGGCCGAACGTCGGCATCCCACAAACCCGAAACGGGGAGCCAATTCACCAGGGGAAAGCCGACCCTGACCGACTCCGCGACGTCCGGGTCGACGTGACCCACTTTCGCGCAACAAGAGTTCCAGAGCCACAGACATCTTACTGGAAGTGACGTGGTTGACTTCGGGGTCGAGACCTTCACGGAGGGCCGTCTCCCGGCTCACGGAACCCTTACAAACTCAAGGAGGTCACGGGACGCCTCCGTACGCAACTTCGCAAGCTTAATGGTGTCCTCCGCGGCATCGGCTGCGAGAGCTACGAGCATGTCGGGAGGGAGGACACAACGCGCCCTACGCGGGTTGGGTAGCTCTAAGGCCTGCCTACACCAGGCTTCTGGTGAGCAAGGGATGGCGACCGACGCGGTCGCGCCCTCGCGGTCGATCTCCAGGAGCTTCGACCCTTTCGGCCAGTGGTCCCAGTGGCGCGGAATCTTGCAGGGCGGGAAAAAGCTGAAGAAGCGTGCGGCATCGTCGCCCTTTAGGGTGACCTTGACAGCGAAGTCCGGCTCGCACAGCGCCTTGAAAGCACGTTTCCGCCCCACGGGGGCTTTTTCCAGGACGTCCTTCACAGCCGCCCCTGCGCAGGACGCCCACGCTTTGGCAAGCTGGGGCGTGTATAAGCACTCTCAAAAAAGGTCGACCAAACACGCTTCCCTTCATGCGTGGCCTGACCCCATGACTCATGGGCATGGTCTCCAGAGCACAGCACGGCTGTCCGACGAAACCAAGAGCGGTTCGACACCAACGTGGTGCTCTTCCGCCGAAACATGCACGCATGCAGCGTGACAACGTGAGATTTGGCCACGAGCCCACTCAAACCAGGGAAAAGCCAAATCAAGCTATTGGTGGGATTTTCGATGCTCCAGCAGACCCCTTTTTCGGACAAATGTCTGCACCAGGAGGACATCAGCTCTACGAGGCTGTTCGCGGCACGAACGCGTGCCCTGTCACGAAAATCCTTAAGGGATGGCAGCCCCCTTACGAAATTTCGATTCCTCAGCGGCCTTGGTCCCCCCGGATGGCGAATTTCCCTGGCGCGACTGAACGTTCCGCACGGGGGGGCCCAGTGAACCCAAACTAGGCCTGGCCTGTCCAGGACATCTTTGAGAAGGGAACGCCCTTCTTTCCTGGAGAGGTCCAATTGCAGGACCTTGACACCTTGAGCCTTGCAAACTTTGTCAATGCTCACTGTGTGGAAGCCTAAATCCTTTGCGGCTTTACTCAGACGTCCCAAGCCACTTCCACAAACAAAGGGACGCCCCTATCGCCACGGCCGGGCTGGCAGTCCACAGGCGAGGACGCTGACCCCCCAGCTGGAGGTTGAACTTCCTCACAGCGGGCACGGCCCGTAACAGCACCAGGGGAAGAAGGAGGGGTGGGAGCGGGCGACTCACCCGGGCCTGACGAGGCCTTGCTCATTTCGACTACCGGCTGGGAGAGTCACTCACGCTTCTTGTTTGCCGGACAGTTCCCTGCCCCGTGGTCCTTGGACCCACAGGACATGCAAACGTGCAGTCCGCGGTCACACTCAGGAGGATTCCCGGACGCCGGGAGGTCACAGCCCTCCTCCAGGTTACCCATAGCAGTAACGCCTGCCGTGATCGTCATGCGGCTGGAAAGGGCGCAGTTCTTTAGGCATCGGCAGCTTCTTTTCGGCCGGGAGGGTAGGAGCGGAAGGCTTCCCTTTACCTCTCCCCCTGCCCCGGCCTTTTGGGGTGCGACTCCTGCCAGATCCTTTAGGGTCACGGCCCTTCCCTCCTTCAGGAAGAAGTAGTTTCGCACGAGACGCTCGTGCACGTTGAAGGAGACCAGACCGACGCGGTCCAGGGCCAGACCTCTCCTGGTGAACGCCTGCTGCAGCTTGAAGTCGGTTGCTACGTCCGCATTGAACACGTTGTCCTTCTTCTTGAGGGTAAGTTCGCCATTTTCGATGGCAAAGAATTCCTTGTCCCGCCGCACGGCGGCGACCTCTGCATCGCGACTCACGCACGCGGACGGCGGAATGTAACGCTTAAGCCCGTCGTGCAACATTGCCGCCGCGCGGTCTACGAGACCGTTGGAGGGCTCCAGGTCACCTTCCATCAGGACTCCAGTGAGGCGGGCAACTTGCTCTTTCCTCTTGTGCTCTCTTTCGTGGGCAAGTACTTCTTGCTGGACGCCTCGGGGTCGCCCCGATCCTTCAAATCCTGCAGGCTGAAGGCCAAGCCTTCAAAGGCGAGACGTCGCAAAGCTCCTGCGTGGCCCAACGTGGGCCCGGGCGCCGGGAAGATCTTTTTCGCCAGATCTTCCAGCTTGCTATCGTCAATATGGTTGGGCTGATCAGACAGAGAACGCAAGGGCGGCAAAGGACTCCACATTCTCTTTCACCAGATTTTTGAAGGGGTCGCTTCCGAGCAAGTCCTCGGCTCTGCTTTTAAACTCGGCCTTGCTGTCAACCAGGGATACCATGGCCTGACAGGTGAAGAGGACAAGCACAAAGAGAGGAAAGTGGGGGGGGGGGGGCCTGTGACGAGGTCAACAAAGCCTCCTTTTTCCTCTAGTCCTGCAAGCTCGAGTGGGTCCAGCACTGCTTGCAATGGGGACGCCCCTCTTCGAGTTCAACAACTGTCGCTGGTAACATACCTGTCAGACAACGTCCGCCCACAAAGAAGACGATTCCGCATCTCAACCCCTTGAACGTGGAGGCAGCCGCTGACAGCATGCATAAAGGACTGGCACCACGGCGGCAGGGCTGCCACGGCCTCGCGGCGGGCACGGTTCCCGGGCAAAGGGGGATCTGCCGGCATTCCTCCTCACTGAGTCGGTCCGACTCGCTATCTGTGGTGTCAGTCATGTGCTCAGGTGCCGGTTGCTCGGCTGACGCAGCCGCTGACGACTCGTTGTCTGGGTCGGGAGGAACATTTGAACCCCGACGCAGGGCTCCCTCCGGCACGACCGGGTCTGGTTTGTTGAAGGCAAGACCCGCTGTCTAGTCCTAATTTGACTCCCGCGAGGGTTGTCAGGCGCAAAGTCGCCATCACGGATGGCGAGGAGAACTTCCTCGAAAATACGCGCCGCCGGCGCGAGAACGTCTCGGCTGAGGTCTCCGTGCTACGCGCACTGTCATGCACATGATGTGCTAACAAGCGCCGCGTGTCCAGGGCGACACCGGCCGACGCAGCCCACGTCAGGCCCGTGGCCTTGAGGCTGTGGCTGGAGAGACGGGAAGAGGCCGGGAAGACCTCTGCTAGAACGCCGCGCAACCGTGAAGACATGGCATTTCCAGTCGGGACGCCATCTTCCCCGAAATGCGGGATCAGGGAACCCTTATCGATGGCGCCTTTGACCGAAAGGCCGAGAGACACCCGTGCCTCCAGCCACTGTGGGATCCAAGGAGTCTCTAGGTAAACGCACGGCGCCAGAAGTGGCCATTTTGGCTCAAGTCTCAGTGGTCAGCCCCGTTAGATTTTCAGTTAGGATGGGGCCGCTTCGCTAGCAGCTCTACCATAGGTACCATGGAGTGGCCAGATCTGCCTCTAGACATCTGCGACTTTTCTCTAAACCAAAAGCCTTCGTCCGTAGCATGTTTCTCAACTATACAAAATGGTCAAAAGACTCTATGCACATGGGAAATTTTGGGTTTATCACCCCTCCTTGGGATGCCTTGAAGTCTATACAAAAGGCATACCACCATTCTTTCTGCTGGCTCTTTTAGAGCTCGCACTGCCAATTCTCCACTTGAAACACGGCAAAAGTCGCCAGGTTTTCTTTCCTGACTTCCCGAGGAAAATTTCTACCTAGTGTAGTGGGTTCTCGGGTTTAACCCAAAGCGACACACCAAACACAACGCACATGTACATCTACTCTTGCATGGTTCTGTCTGGTTGCAAAATGCATACTCAGTACTCGACGTGGCACAAGCTCACTGCACCATTCATCTCAGCAGCAGCAGCAGCAAAGCCACCACCAGCAGCTCATGTTCACATTCTTCTACTCCAGCACATAGATTCGCCAATGCTCTGGCTCACACAGCTTGCATGGTGCAAGCTCTCGATTCCAGGCTTCCTCCACAGTCACTAAGCTTGTTTGCTTGACCTTCAACAAGGCCTCGCATTGTCGGCTACGATGATAACACTCCCCCCATGAAGAAGCGATCCATGCAGCTCTGTCCCTTTCGCCCTCCAGCGCCAGTGACTTCTCTGCAAACTGCACGAACTGCTTTCTTTGGTCTCTCACAGCTTGCCTTTGCTTTGACCTTGCCACTGAACGTTGCCGAAGAGATTCCAAAGCTGTCTCTCTCCCTTCTCGCACATTCGCCTCATTCACGGAAGTAGTGTTTGCCGAAGACGCTGTCGTAGCTGAGGTAGCTCTCAATGAAGACGAAGTTCTCGGTGAGGTAGCTCTCGGTGAAGACGAAGTTCTCGCTGAAGTAGCTCGCGGTGAGGTAGCTCTCGGTGAAGACGAAGTTCTCGCTGAAGTCGCTCGCGGTGAGGTAGCTCTCGGTGAAGACGAAGTTCTCGTTGACGTAGCTCTCGGTGAAGACGAAGTTCTCGTTGAAGCAGTCATCGCTCCAATGCCGATGCCCAACACCAGCATGGCCAATGCTCCTCCAACCACCAAGCTTTCTTTCGAAACAGAGGTCCACATCAGCTTGCCGACCATCACAAACCTTTCCATGATTTGGTAGCTCAGAAGCATCATGCACATGAACAGTTCCACGATCTTCTCCATAAGTTCGCTCGCTTCAAACTCCGACGATTCTTCCATTGGGCTCACTGCACGGCTCAAGGCTATGGCAAGGAGAAAAGCTGAAAGTCTCAAAAGTTGACTGTGTTGCGCAGTAGACGACGAACGAACTCTGTGTACCCTGGCTACAGAACTGGAACTTAAAGCACCATCCGGATTTCGAAAACCCATCAAGGTCAGCAAATATCGGATTCTTTCGCTATGGAGCGGTTTCGTACCGATGTCCGTGGGGTTGTCTCGAGTGCTGATGGGCTTGAGCTGAACTTCTTGTCGGTGAACTAAACTCTGGACCCGTAGGAGTCTCACGTCCAAATGTCTCAGTCGAGAGACCCCCGCCTTGGCCATCACGGCCCGGGCGGAAGATGAATCCAACCTCGCCACCAGCTGCACTTCATCAGGGCACAAGGTTTTCAGGATGTTGCGGAGATAGAGACCCTCCGCAATGGCACTTGACGATGCTATGAGCTCACTTTCACAAGAGGATAAGCTTATCGAGGCTTGTCTTCGGGCGTAGGAAAACATCAGGTTCCCGTCCAAAAACAATGCTCCAGCACTCAAGCTTTTCCGGTCTTTGTTGCCTGCCCAGTCTGAGTCGCTGATGGCTTCCAGGATTCGTACTCGAGGTTCTGGATTTTCCTCCGGCACTTCATCCGGTCTGTCACGCGGGGATTCATCAAGCAAGGTTCGGCCTGGATACGACCATCTCAAGGTGAGAGCATAATCCCGGGTGGAGTACAAATATTCGGCCAAGTACTTCAGGCATTTCATTTGATGTTCACTTGGTTTGGACATTCCCCTTGCAAGCATGCTCACTGTGTGCTGACAATCAGGTCGATCGGGGGCAATGTACAAGATACACCCTAAAGCTGCTCGATACTGAACCGCGGATGCCGGGGACAATGGTGGGGAATCATCACTGGCTCGGATCTCTTGAGTCGAAGGGACCTTTCGACTTCTTGGGTGAGTGATCCCCAAGATCTCTACGACCTTCTCGAGATACTTAGGATCCACAGAGATTTGAAGTCCTTCTTCCACCACCTCGAACGTTCTCTTCAAGAACCGAAGTCGATCACCTGGGCGGCGCAAAGGTTCCGAAACTTCCAACTTATACTTGGATTTCAAGACATTGGTCACCTCATCCAGTGCCTTTGCGGTTCCCCCCATCAAGCCATCATCCACATGAATCGTGGTTCCTTTCTGTGGACCCCCAAAGACTACCGGGCAAGCAAGGTTACTCTCCATCCCAGCTTCGCGAAGATCACCACTCAGTTGCTCGTGCCAGTACACCGGCGCGATCTGTTGCCCCGGGAGGCACTTCAAAACCTTGTACGTCTTCTCGTTCAATCTGATGTACAAAGTCTCTCTCTGGGGTACCATCAAAAAGGCATCTTTAACATCAAAGGCTCGAAGTTCCCAGCCCGGTGTGGAAGTAAAGAGGTGAGGAAGCAACCTCAACATCGACGGGGATGTCGCTGGGGAATAGGTGTCTTGTCGGAATGGATTCCAAATTTTGAGTTCCTTACAGACCAATCTAGCCCGTCGGATCCACTTGCGGGTTCTGTACCTCCAATCCATCACATGTCGGGTTTTGAGGGTTTTCTCGTACGGGGGCTCGTACTGGACTTCCACCAAGACTCCCATGCTCAGCAACCGATTCAGCTCTGTGGCTTTTGACTCCTCTTCCACTATCTCCAATTGCTCTTCGGTGAGGATTGGTGGCCCCTCAGCTTCGGAATTCTCTGATCGTGAGTTTTCAAGACCTTCTTCTTCAGGACTGAAATCTGGAAGATCTTCATCCAAGAATTTCGCATCAAACTGAAGCCCCTCAAACCAATCATCAAGATCTTCATCCCCGACATGATACTCTTCTTCGCCTACCCGGACAGCTCGCACCTTCTTCACTGGAGCCTCTCCTGCATACAGCGGGGGAGCTTGAAGTTGTCCATGCTCTCGCTTCGTACCTTGGCTCGGTGCGCTTTGCAATGACTCTTCTTCTTCTCGAGGTGCTTCAGGTCGAGCTGGATCTACATCTTCTACAGGAACATCTGCGGTTCTCTTCCTTCCTCTTCTTCTTTCTTCTTCTTCTTCTCTTGGCTCATCCCCTCCTGCCTTCGACACCCCATCCCCTCCTGAACTGCTCATCTTTGTTTTCGAACTCTCGGAAGAACTCTCGGAGGGATCGGAGGCAGCCTCATCCCCAGGGCTTTCTTGTGGTAGTGGAACGGGAGTGGGAAGAGGTAGAGGCAAAGACTCCACACTTTGTGGAAGACGATCTTTCAAACCAGGGACAAGCTTCGTTCCTGCAGATCCCAACCCATACTTCCATGGCTTCCCTTGGAATTCCTTGAGGACTACTTTGTCCCATGCCTGATCTTGCGGCAACCGTCGGATTGTCGAAGCCACATAGACCCCCAGTGCCGTCCCGCATATGTACATATCGTTCTGGAGGGTCTTGCCCAGGAACAGTCCTTTAACGAATTTTGGCTTTCCCTTCTTGACGTGAGGACTCGCCAATGCGAAGTATACTGCTTCTCCAAAGCACGCCAGTTTCCCAGTGTACTTCACATGGAACGCTCGTTCATAAGCCGTCATTCCTCCTTGTACTGCGTACATGTTGTGGAGCATCGACGCATGCACATACGCCCAACCCACCAGGTCGCTCTCAGCTGTCACTCTGAACCCACATTTCCGAACCTGTTCAAGAAGGGTAGTCCCGATATCTCGCACCGATTGAATTGATTGTTCTGCAGGTCCATTTGTGGGATGCTCATAAGGTTGTGAAGGACTGGGGCGAGTAGCTAGGCCAACCTTTGTTCGGGCATTCACAATGCGCGACACTAAGTGCAGCATCGAAGGCTCGTTGTCGGCTCGAATTTCAGCCTCAGATCTTCCCAAGTACGCCAAGAAAGATAGCACTTCCCGGGCTGCATACTGCAGTGAGCTTGCCTGCTTCGAAGGTAAAGGGATTGCTCGAATCATGCCTGTCTCACGATCTACACATGTCAACAACAGGTGCTTGTTCGGGGGCTCTTCTTCCGGGCTTGCTTTCATGAACTCCAAAGTTTCCTCTTCCACTGAGGAGTAGAAGAAGTCCAAGCACAGCAAGGGCCATCCACCTTCAGACCGATGAGCTTCACTATGCGGACTGTGCTTATCCCTTCGGGACCTTGTTGAAACGCACAACGGACACCACTTCTGAAAGGGGATGTGAGTCAGGTTGTGTTGGGACACAGTGGCCTCATCTGGGGTCTCTGGTGCGGAAGGTTCAGGCCTTGGATCTCGGATAGGGAACCGAGCTGCATCTTGAAGACTCAGGTCATCTTCAGCTTGTCTACGGTGCAAATGCCTTACCAGTCTCTTGTAGAGCACGGTCTTTGAACCACTTGCTCCAATACCCAAATGCTTACACGCTTTCTTCAAATCGGCCGCTGACGAGTTGGCATCATAGTTCAAACCCTCTATCTCAATGCTGTCCGGAATCGGTCTCTCCAACTGAATACCAGGGGTCGCAACCTCCGGCATCGGCTCGGGATCCGACAGATTGGACCTTTTCCTGAAGTCCATGCTCCATATCCTTTTCCTTTTCCTTTGTCCTTTCCTCCCCATTTGCCTTTGCCCTTGTCTCCTTTCCTCCAAGGATCACCCTTCACCCGATCCACTTCCATGGGAGCTGAACTATCTTCGCCCGACACAATCTGGCTCGTCCATTTCTGTGTTGTTCTCTCATACCGTAGGACTGTCTCTCGAATTGTCTCATACGTAGCATCCTCCTTGCACTGCAGCGACACGTGGGTTTTGATGCTAGCCGGAAGAGCTCGCACCAAGATTGCTGCCTTGAGTTCTGGATCAACTTCTTTGTGGGAGGACTGCTCGTACTTCCGGCAAAGCTCTTCAAGTTTGAGGATTTGCTCATGCACATTCTGTACCGACATAGACGGAAACTGTGAAATTGCCCCTAACAATGCAAGCGAACGGGATTTCGAAGAGGGTGCAAGGGTTGAGACCAAGAGGCGCCAAGTCTCACATCCATTCCCTTCAGGAACAGATCGAAGCAGTTGTTGTGGCCTCTCGCGGAGAAGGGAAGCAAGTAGGGAGTACATCTGTCGAGAATGCTCGACAGCCTCATCCATCATTGTGTCATGGTCGCAAATGTCATTCGGATTCGCTTCAATCTCATCTAGCAAGGTGCATGCGGAAGGACTCACCACCCGAAGATATTGTTTAAAGCTCCAGGCCCAATCCGGAAACTGCACCAATTCCTCCTCCCTATTCTTTGGTTTGAACTGCTCGGGTTTGCTTATCAGCTTAGCCCACATCCCAGTCTCATTCACATTTCGCCGCGCAAGCAGGTCCAGCGTCTCATGCATCTGGCGGGTCTGCTCAGCACTCTGTGTCACAACACGAGCAAGCATGTCCATCACTGCTTCATACTGCACATTGGAAGGAGATCCGGGAGATTGGGCTCCATGTGCTGGGCTGAATGGGTTTGGGGCTTGAGGTAGTTGTGAACTTTCTGCAGCCTGGGACATCGCAAACAAACGCTTTGCAAGGACCTAGCCGTGAACTTCAAAATGACACTCACCTTCAGCGATCACCTCGGGCCAGCCGACCTTGCCGAAGATCTGCTCCTTGATCGTGTAGGTGTTCTCTTCACTCCAGACGATCTTGCCGAAGTTCTGCTCTCTGATCGTGTAGCAGGTCTCTTCACACCAGACGATCTTGCCGAAGTTCTGCTCGCTGATCGTGTCGTAGGTCTCTTCACACCAGACGATCTTGCCGAGGCCTTACTCGAAGATCCAGCCGCCGAAGAAGACGACGAGGAAGAAGCTGAAGAGCTCCTTGACCCTCCTCCGGTCCGATCCGACCCACTGTCGCCTGGGTCTCGGACCTGCTTAAGGCCCTCGACGAACTGTGCTCTCAGCGGGTTGTCTTGCCCACCGAAATGCTCCAGCAGGCAGCTCACCAGATCGTTCACCTGCAGCAAGCGCTTGATGTCTCGTACTCGACCACTCCAAGCCTGCTGATCGATCTTTGGTTCCGGCCACGATTCTCTCGCAAGTGAACAACCCACAAAGGACTGAACAGCCTCCACAGCTCTCGTCTGTACCTCCCAGTCACTCTGCCCCTTCCCGAGGCAGCTGACTCTGCCGTGGTCTCCAACCCCAGCAGCGGTTGCCAAAGAGCTCGAACAACTGGCCGCCCCTCCAGCCCAACCACTCTCCACGTGCAGCACAGTCGAGGAACTATGCCTATACAAAATGGTCAAAAGACTCTATGCACATGGGAAATTTTGGGTTTATCAACATCAGAGCGCTGCTGCAGAGAGACTTTCAACGCGTTGACCTTTTATGGTGTGCGTTCGATGACTTTCAACAAGCATGTGAACTTCTGGAGGCTGTTGAGCCTAATTTGGGGGATGATTTGGTTAAGAGATTTGGGAAGCAGTTAGATGACTGGAGACAAGAGATGGGCACTGCAGCAAAACGTCAGAGGCGCATGTCCTTGCAAGATCTCCACGGAAGTCTGGTTCAGGGCAAGAGCGTTGGAACGTCAGTTCTGCAGGCGGCCTATACAAAGCTTGTTTCAGATCAACCTTTGGCGTTGCTGCCGTCACTTCAGAGGAAAGAGCGTGCAGCTTTGAAATTTCAGGATGCTTCTGAGAGGGCTCGCAAAGAAAGTGAGTCTCGAGTTCGCTTTGCTGTGTTGCTTGGTGGGTTCGTGAGGGAGGCACAGCTCCCAGTGGTCGCTGAAATCGCTGCTTTAGCATCTCCAGAAGCAGGGTGGAAGCGTCTGTTTGGTACAAGAAGGAGCAAGACCCTTCGGAATCGGTACAGAGCATGGAAACCATTTCGTGACTGGTGAGCGACTACGAAAGGCTACCACTGGCCGCAACGAGCTGGCGATCTTGTGGAGTACGCGGAGGAGCTCTACGAGTCTGGTTGCGGGAAGACCGCGTTAGATGCCTTACAAGCTGCGCTGACAGTGCTTGAGTCTGCAGGCAAAGTACGGGATTCAGAGCTTCTTTCAGGTGACACACTTTGGGTTGCTACACTGAGAAGCATCACATCAGATCTGGTAGCTGCGCATCCGCCAAGGAAGCCAGCTGAGCTACCCACCGTGGCTACTGTTGTGGCATTGGAGTTATCAGTCTGTCAGGAGACGCTCCCGCTGTACTTCCGTGCAATGGCTTGGGTTTTCCTTTTGATACTCTGGTGCAGCCTTCGAGCAGACGATGTGCAGGGTCTGCTTCCCGAGAGTATGTTGCTAAATGGAGTTGGCTTCAGTGCCACGCTGGGAAAGACGAAGACCACGGGGCCAGACCGTCGAGTACGTGACATCAAGATCTTTGTGGCGCGGGAAACGAGTCTAACTGGGTGCGATTGGCTTTCTGAGGGCCTTGCCATTTGGACTACTTTTAGCAAGCCTCGTGACTATCTTGTTTTGGAAGCAAAGGGTGACTGGAGTGGGCCGACTGGGAGAGCTGTCGACCCTTCTGCACTGACGCTTTACCTACGGCATGTTTTGGCCAATCTTCGGGGTCCTCTAAGGAGGCCCAACGGGCAGTGGGTTCTCAATCTGCAAGTCAGGCTGTATCCAAACCATTTAGAGTCATATATTACTGCCCATGCATTGCGTGACTGGCTTGCTTCTTTGGCAGCAGCATTAGGGGTGCCTAAGCCTAAGCCAGACCGAGATTTCCTGGGGCGATGGAGCATTGGCTCGGCTGGGGGTTCAGCTGACTATGTGCGCACATCTCGTGAAGTGGTGCAGCGCGTGCAAGACTTGGTCGCCAAGACGTTGGTCACTGGCAAGCCTCGCCCCTACCTTGAGCACCAGGCTTTAGATCGTTTGGCCGAAGCTATGAACCTTCTCGATCAGAATGGTGCCCAAGTGCGAGCGCATCATGACATCCTGCGAAAACTGCCTGGCGCTCCACGCTTGGGTGGGGAATGGCCGACCTTCATTCCCGGTGCCGAAGAGGAGGAGTTGGTTTCAGTGCATGAGCCCAAGGTTGGAAGTCAAAGCGCTGCCCCCACGCAGCCCAAGTATTTCATCACTGTTTCAAAGCACACCGGTTTCAGAAGGCTCCACCTCAATGGTCAGTGTTATGTCAAGCCCTTTAAGTGTAGATCTGTTTCATATCATGATGTCGTTGACGGCGCTCAGATTGATGCCATTTGTCGTGATTGTAAACGGCGCATGCGGAGGGAGACTGGCGAGGACCCACAAGAGGACTCGTCGAGCACGTCGGGCACCTCCAGCGGCACGGAGGCCGCTGAAGGAGAGGCCGCGGAGTGATGTGCATTGTTGAAGCTGTTAAAACATGATGCGCGCGCGCGCATCATAGATCTGTGCACGTTGCGAGGTGCGTCAGGTGCGTCAGATATCTCTGAACATGCATGTGCTGTAATGCTGTCTTACATGCATGTGTTGTATGCACTTCTGCATTGCTTGAGTGAGCTGAAACCATGTTTCTTCTTGTCATACCTGAACCCCCCTTCGGGACATCGCCTTTGATGCTCAGCCTTGAACTCGCGCGTTTCCATCAGGAGCTGCTTAAGCATGTGAGAAGGGCGCGTTGCAAGCTGATCCTCTTCGTTGACAATCAGGCAGCGGTGCGAAGACTAAGGCGTGCTTGGGAGAAGGGCCAGTGGCATGGTTTGCTTGCGCCTTTTTGGAGGCGGGCGGCTGAGGGCTTGAGCGACCACGTCACGGTGCGTTGGGTCCCCAGTCACAGCAACCGCAGCGGAGTTCGCCTTCCGAGATGATCACCACGAAGGAGGTGAGGGAGCTCAATATGTTGGCGGATCGGGCCTGCACGGCCCAGCTGGCTGCATTGAGACCTTCATGGGAGAACGCATGCCGCGTTGTTGAGGGCGCGATTTCCTGGTCCAGAGCGGCTGCGCAGCTGCAGATGGAGCGGACTGTGTGCCCTCGAGATTGACCGGCAGAACTCTTTACAGGCATCCAAACAGGTGGAGGAACTAAAGCACGCCTTCACGTCCTGTCACAGTGCTTCCTGTTCTTCCCCCACCGATGCGGAAGCCATTTGGGGTCAGATCCGTGGAAGCAATCGCGAGGCCGAGGTGGAGGACGCAGTGTTCGTCTTGCGTTCGATGAACGTCTTCAGCCGTGAGCTGCGCGCAACCGTGGAGCGCACGGGCCCCTTGGGCGATGCTTCCCACTGGAACCGAAACATCGTACTCGTGAGCTTCATTGCTTTCTGGGGGTTTGCGCCAATTAAGCTCCTCGCCCATGGCCGGGAACTACCAGAGCTGGATGACTCCAACCACTGGCTGCTGGTGCTGATGATTGTGCTGTCAGCTTTGGAAGCCCTAGCAGGCCTGGGCTTGTTTGCTGCGTTCCCCTTGGATAGGAGAGCTTTTGCAGCTCGGATCCAAGTTCTCTGGATCGTTCTTCTCCCTGTCTACATGGCCGGATTCACATACAACCTCACTTTCTATCTCCTGCAGATCTTCGTGCTCAGCCCTTTGACTCTTGCGATATCGGCTTTGGGGCCAAGAAGGACAGCCCGGGTTCCTGTCCTTGGCCCATGCTTCGTGCGCCTGATCTTCTTTGCGGGTGTTGCAAAGTGCCTGCGGAAGCTCGACCGGAAGCAGAGAGCGAGTTCTGGCCCTGAGCCGCCTAGGCCGCCGGTGCCGACGGAGGAGTCAGTTCCCGGAGTTCCCGTTGAGGTCTCAGACTTTCAAGAGGCCCAGGAAGTTTCCGAGACCGCCCCGGAGGCCGCCCCGGAGGCTCATGGAGCTTCAATGAGCATTTGAGGTTGAGCATCTGAGTCCTCGTCTGAGTCACATGATGTCACACCCTAGATCCCAGCTGAAAGCGAGCGACGATGCATGAGGCACCAGTCCCTTGCAGGATTTTGTTGGTTTGTGATTTTCCACAAATTCGGAGTATCGACGGGCTTGCGCCTCTATGGACTTGACCACCTTTGCACATCTAAAAGCGCCTCGAAGGCAGTGCTTCGTTCCGGGCGGTTGAACAGAATCTATTGAGCCGGCTTGATACATGCACTCGTCTCTTGACCATGGGAAAGCAAGCGCTCGCCCTTCGCTGATGCATCTCAACATATCTCAACAGATGTAATCCCAGCACGTGTCCTTGCCTTTTTTGACGTCAAGGCAGTTGCGCAGTTCCAGTCGTTCTGCCATGCTCCGGATAGGCGGATCGGCTCCCGCTCAGGCAAGCGCATAGCCTCATTTTGAGACGTCCAGCGCAGTCCCCCTAGGTTCACGGTCGATCCGTTAATCGTCAGCCGACACCGTGCCAGACGTGAACCTACGGTCGCGCCGGACTACCGCTCAATTGTAAATGAGAGGAAGTAGGAACGACACGAGGACTCAGCATCCGTCATCTGGCCTATATGGGAAATCTGGGCCCCGCTTCTGGGGCTAAATTTCGACCCAGAGCTGAATCTGGGCGGCCCCGCTTTTGGGGCCGTCTGCAAGAGAAAAATGACTTCAGGCAGCCCCAAAAATGGGGCCCCGCATGCCTTCCAGGAGGCCGCCTGGCGACCCCGTCTCCGGACCCACCAGGTAGAGATTTTGGGACACACCATCTGCGAAGATAAACTCACAAGTTTCGGCACGCTACATCACTGAATTCGTTGCCTGCGCCTCGCCCCCCTCTCCATTTTGAGGCAAAGCATTGCCTACGCCCGCGTGCACTGATTGTCTGGAGCCTGTCAAGCATGACTGGCCGAGGTACCCTCAGGCTGTTGCACACTCTGCTGATCTCCTAGACCAGGTGGAAAACAAGTCGGAATCTGCCACCAATCTTGCTCATACCGATCAACTTCAGGCTCTTCCATCACAGGTTCTTCATCCTCATCCTGCGTGTGCATGGAGTGATACTCGCAGAGTGATTGCAGAGTGTCAAAGTTCTGCTCCAGGGTGGTGTGCTTGTCCACTATCTCACGTACTGATGTCCTCGTGTCCTCGATCAAGCGGTTCGTTACCTGATGATTTTCAGTCACGATCTGGCTGAGCTCTTCGACCCGTGCCATCTTGTGACCTTGTGTAGAAGGGCCCATCTGAACCGTGGAGCCCGCCTCCCCCGCGCCTGAAGGATGTTGGTTCCTGTCGTGCTGACATCGCGTGCTGACTCCCTTTCAACTCCTTAAAGCGAAGATCAAATTCTCCTTGAAGTTTGATGATGTGGGCCTGAATCTGGGCTGCCACTGCTGCGGGCCCAGCTTCGGTGCCTGGCTCATGGCTCTGGTCTCCTCTCGCTGGATCCGCGTCTGCTCAAGCTCTGTGCGCAGACTCGCATTGTCCTGAACAAGACGAGCGAGCATCTCATTGTAGTGTAGAGCACTTGTGCGCGTAGTGACACGTAAGAGCACGGAGTGGGCGCCATGCCGCAGCGAAGGGGCTGCTCGAAGCCGTGAGATAGGCTGAGCCCTGCTCCGAGCCTTATTGGCATTCCTTGCTTTGTAGCAACGATTGGCCAACGGACCTTCTTCGCCGCAGGCTCAGTGCCCTTCTGGTTTGCGAGGCATTTCGCCTCCAAGCGGGCCTACATTCACATGCTCGAAGTGGTGGCTCAACTCCTTCCATTGCTGGCACTGCAGGCCGTACTACCAGCGCAACTGCTGCTCTTTGTCGACAACGAGCCAGCACGCCATGCACTAACCAAAGGTTTTGGAAATTGCCGGAACCTCAATCGGCTGCTGGAAGTTGCCTGGCAGTTCTTCGAGAAGCAAAGTTGGTGGCCAGTGTGGCAACGTGTGGCTAGCTCCGCAAATGTAAGCGATGGGGTAAGTCGATTCGACTTTGCTTTCGCCTACGACCAGGGTTGGGGCGAGTACGAGAAGTTCTTTCGTCGACTCCTGAGCTCTGTTGAGGCATTTCCGTCTGAGGAGCTTTGAGCTTGTTGATGTGGTTAGAGCTGTTAGGGCTATCCGGTGCGAGATCATGGTGGCAGGCGTCGCACCTATGGTGACAGTCGCCTGTCGCCCTGCGCAAACTTTGAAGGCAGGTGCGAGCAGGACGAAGTCAACGCCGCCTGCTGAAAGATTCCAAAAAGAGAGTCGTTTGCATCTTTGATTCTCTGCGTCATTTAGTGCTCGTGTGTCGTGTAGAGCACTTGTGCGCGTAGTGACACGTAAGAGCACGGAGTGGGCGCAATGCCGCAGCGAAGGGGCTGCTCGAAGCCGTGAGATAGGCTGAGCCCTGCCCCGAGCCTTATTGGCGTTCCTTGCGAAACACCCACCCTCACCGCCCTACAAACAGTGGGGCGTGACAGTCGCCTGTCGCCCTGCGCAAACTTTGAAGGCAGGCGCGAGCAGGACGAAGTCAACGCCGCCTGCTGAAAGATTCCAAAAAGAGAGTCGTTTGCATCTTTGATTTTCTGCGTCATGTAGCGCTCGTGTGTCTGCATCAAGGCTTTGCTGCGCACGTCCCAAATTTTCTACTACCGCACTGTAGCCTCGGGCCAACGAAGTAGTCGCATCGCCAAGGACGTTAGTACGATAT